GCGCCACCTGGTGACTACTATAGAACATTACAAGCTCTGCACTTTTGATAACTCAACAGCGCCACCTGGTGAACGGTATAAGACATTGCAAGTTTTTGCATCTCCAGTGACGCGACGGCGCCCCCTGCTGACTGTGGCTGGAACTGCACCAAAGAGTGCTAAAAATTGAACTATTTGATTTTCTTTTTTTGCCGGTTTTATCGATTTTGTTCTTGAAGGGGATTATTGGTGGGTATAGGGGTATTGTTTGGTTGTTTTACTTGGTTTTCTTTTTCCCTCATGTTACGTTAATACACACATACTTAATAAAGGGCTGTTATTTTTCTTTTTTCCCTTTTCCATAATTTGTTTTCCTTCAATCGGAGCCTCTTAATTTCGGATCTATAATTGCTAGAGAAGAAGGTTTGGGTCTTTTTCTCCTAATCCATCCTCAGCAAAAGACCCTTGTCTCAATTAAACTGAGACAGATAGCTAAGCTAGTTCTCAGCCTGGTTGCCAGGTGTGGATTCTGCTTGGATTTTCATGGGAGAGGAACTGTTTCGGGAGGTTTTTTCCCCTTCACCGTTCCCATTTGTTTCTTTCTTAGCAGTGGTTCTTGTGCACATCAAAGGGAGAAGGAAAACTATACTGCACGATTCGACCAGCCAAACAGTGAGTTTTTTCCCATTGGGGAGGACTTTTTTGTTGTTGTTTCTCTCCCTCCTCTCTTTCCCCTTTCCCAGTGTGTATGGGGGGGAGGGAAACCCATTTTTGTTTTTTCCAACACATCTCAGAGGGTGTCACTCCACGTGGCAATGACCAATGATTCCACAGCGCCCTCTGCTGACCAGCATAAAGAACTGCAGGCTCTGCCTTTCCAGTAATCCAACAGCGCCCCCTGTTTACTGTGGCTAGAATTGCACTAAAGGGCACAAACTGAACTGTTAACTTTTTTTCTTTGCTTGTTTATTGGTTTGTTTTGAAGGGGATTATTTGTGGGTATAGGAGCATTATTTGATTGTTTTACTTGTTTTCTTTCATTGTTTCTGCTAATCCACATATATCTTTTAATAAAGGGTTGATATTTTTCCTTTTTCCACAATTTTTTCCCCCTCAATTGGAGCCTCCTAATTTCATATTTAAAATTGCTTAGAGAGAGGAGTTTGGGTCTTTCTCATAACTCATCCTCAGCAAAACACCTGTGTCTCATTTAAACTGAGACACCAGTGCAAACCAGCTAGTTTCCCAACATTGCACAAAATAAATACCTTGCTGCTTAAAGACAAAATTCATCTCTGAGCACTTATTTTGTGCCATTTTCAGCATCACCATTCCCCATCCCACTGTGTCATTTGGGGGGAGAAGGTATAGAAGTAGGGAGTGAAGTTGAGCCTGTGAAGAAAGGAAGGGTGGGGGATGGTGTTTTCAGATTTGTTCTTATTTAAATTAAATTAATGTACCCCAAGTTGAGACTTTTTTGCCAGTGATGATAATTGGTCAGTGATCTCCCTGTCCATATCTTGACCCATGAGCTTTTTCATCATACTTTCTCTCCCTGTCCTGCTGAGGAGGGGGAGTGCCCAGGCTTGTTGGGCACCTGCTGTCTGACCAAGGTCAACCCACCACAAGGTTTTACAAAAATATTGAGTGCCTATGTGTGATGGTTCGGACTTGGCTCCCTGCCAAATGCCCAACTCCCCAGTAGCAGCCCCTCTCTTCCCCCCCCTTTCTACTTCCCCCAGGGCAAAGGAAAAAAACTATGCAAATTGAAGAACCCGAAAACCAAGCTAGTTATATATAAAAAAATATATTTTATGTATATTACAGTTAAGATGCTATGTACACAGTAAACGGGAATACAAACACCCCCCGAAGGGATAGGGAAAGGGGAAAAAAGGGACAAAAGGAAATAAAAAGGGACACCAAATAGATATGCGCAATCAAACCCGAGAACTAGTAAAATAGCTAGTAAAACAAATCTCACCACGTCCCTTAGAAAGCAGGATTGGCAGACACTGCCAGCACTCTCCAAGCTTCCACGTGGCAGGTCAGTGGATGCTGCAGACCTCAGCCTTAGATAAGCGAGACCAACGCAGGGACCCACTGTTCCCGAACTTCGGTGGAAAAGAAGAGGAACGAAGGCCGCTTCTCCCCTCTTATTTATACCACGATTTACATAAAAATTGTATGGAATACTGGGAACACTGCCCCTTCCTTGGTTACAAACTGGTAACCAGGGAAGGCCTAGATTAAAACCACCACACTATGTAAAACTCTTTTTTAGAGAAAGTGGAAAGCTCTACAATTCTTTTCACCACACCAGAATCACAAAATTTGAAATAGACTTGCATATTTCCCTTGGGTCACAAAAACACCAGCCTAAAATTGTTTTTTCAATACCCAAGACCTTTTATTCTGTACTAAACATTCAAGCAAATGATCCCTTTCTTCCATGCAGCGGAGAAGAGGGATTCAGACTACTGGGATTGCCACCTTTTGCAAGCAGCTCTTGGTGTATCACACAGTGAAGTAAGCCAGGTGGCATCAGGTGTGTCCCTATTTCCCTTAACAGGCAACTGTGGAAGCCCCTGAAAACTGGATGTGACTCATGGATATCCCTTCCTCATTGCTGCCCTAATTTTCTTTTTCTTTCATGTTTTTCAGTGTCCTTTTCTTAGGAACAAATAGATTTCTTTAACACTGATTTTAGGAATCTGTTATCTTCTGTGCTGGGTTTGGCTATGGTAAAGTTATTTTTCTTCATAATAGCTATATGCTCAGCATTCAAAACTGGGGGAACATTTAGAGTGATGACATTTGTCTTCCCAGGTCATCATTGCACATGATGGAGTCCTGCTTTCCTGGAGATGGCTGAACACCTACCAGCCATGGTATTTTTGCTTCAGCTGTGGATTGAGACTCCTGTGCTCTTATAATTTGAAACTCCCTGAGCACTATCTGACTGAACAATTCAGCTTTTTAGAAGTCATGTCAATGATGATTAAATATATGGCAGAAAGATAGCTGTGAATGGTTTTATCTGTGATTCTCACAAGTCTTAGAGACCTCTGTACATTTCCACACTCCTAATCAGTTCCATAAAGGCAGTTTGTTGTCTTTGTCATTTGACTGGTGAACTTCGGCAAGAAGATAGGTAACAGCATCCAAACAGAAAACATGCTTGTCAGCAAATGCTGCTTACATGAAAATAACTCTTCTTCCTGCTAAATATCTTCATTTCTCTCAGGTTTTTCCTAGTATGCTTTTCAGTGGACACTAAACACACAGCATGTCCTCCCCACGATGAAGTCACGCCAAGTATTAGGCCACATAAGGACCAGCACATCACAGGGAGTTATTACTTCCCTGCCCATGTCCCTAGGTGAGGCTGCACCTGGAGTGCTGTGCAGAGTTTAGCCCCCTGTTCAAGAACAATCTGAGGAACCTGGAAAAGGTTCAGCAAAGACCCTCTTGCTGTCCACCGTACCCTAATACAGTTCACTTTTGATATCTGCTCAGTTGTTAATAAAGACAGTCTGACTGTATCAGCTAAAGATGGGGTTTATTCTTTTCCAAAAGGTCCTCTTCGTCAAAGACACACACAAAGGGGAGAGGGAAAGTGGATAGCAGCACAAGAAATGGTGGAATAGCCAGTTCTGGAATGCGATGTTTACATTAAGAATATTTATCACACCTAGTGCAAGGATTTTTCAGGTTACAAGGAGGGTAGCATGCATGGAACTACTTGATATAGTTCTACACTTTTTTCGTACTTATTCACACTATCCAAACCTCTTTATACTAACTTATAACACTCTGTTACTACTAAATATAAATCCATATTTTTTCTATAAGTAAAACTAACATAAACAATCTTTTTCTCTTAGTTTTAACTTTGCTAGCAGGTGTTCACTGCGTGGTGTTCTTCCGCAGAAGTTTAGCAGCTTTTCTCACTTTCACAGAGTGTCCAAGGTTGTTTGCTAGATTCCAGAGTTCTCTCTGAGGCCTCTTGCTGGGCAGCTGCTCCTTGCTTCTCAGACGTAATACCTGCTAGGTTCCCAACACCCTCTGAAATGCTGAGGTCCAAAGACATATGGAGAGGCCGAGGGAGCCAGGCTTTTGCATTTTTTAAGGAGGAAGCTAATGTATAGTCTGAGTTACCTGAAGATGTGAGGGGGTGACAGCCAAGGTGGTGGAGCTGAAATTGTCTGGGTAGCAGCAATGAGATGAAACTGCAGCACTGCAGCTTGGGAAGCTCAGAACAGGCACCCTCTTCTCTAGGGGGTGGCACAGCACTGGCATGGGTGGCTCAGAGAGGACTCTCCATCCTTGTAGGTTTAAAGGCTTGTCTAAGCAAAGATCCAGCAGCAACTTGTCGGAGAGCTGGAGAAGGTCCTGCTTTGAGCAAGAGGTCAGAAGAGAGCTCTGCAGGGTGACATCCCAGACAGCCAACACTTTTGTGATTCTCTGATATTTGAACCTAGGAGCCATGCCACTGAGCTTCAGACCCTAAATGCACAAAATATTTCCTCTCCTTATTTAAAAACTAACTCACCTATGTTTTCTGTTTCTTGCTCTACAGTCCGCAGTGCAGGAGGTGTATGGCAGGCTGATCCTTCTGCCCCTGTGTGTGCTCAAATAGATGTCCCTGACAGAGAGGCTTCCTAGGGGTGAGATTTGCTATTGCTGCAAGGCTTGCCCTTTCTCTGACCTGCCAGGTGGTAGTTGGGGAGTTGGACTTTAGCACTTAGAATGTAGCTAAATACAAATCACAAAGTAGGTACAATTTGTACTTCAGAGTAATAATGCATCTTCAGTGCCTTGATGGGATGTCTTGGCAGTAGAATTCAAAGTTTTACTTTTACTTTTTCAATCCGAGAGTTCACGTGGCTGCAAGACAATGGCAACAGGTCTGAGTTTCTCAAGCAGGATTGAATCTTTCACGTGTACTAGTGAAGAGGATCTTCCATCTTAGCTTCTATTTTTGGTTCTTTTCAGTTATGTCCTAACTGAGGAGGGTTAACTCCACCAGACCAAGAGTGTTCAGATCCATGATCCACCCTTCCTTGCAAAACTAACAGGAAAGTCTGGAAGATGCACAAGAGCAGTGCTTTTTCCCTGCTCTGTGACATCTCCTTTACAGCAGAGGTAAAATAAATCAACTAGTTATAACGAACTGAAGTTGTCATCTCTGTCATGGTTTAGAAACATGTAAAAATCTTCATAAGCATGCATCTGACAATGAGCAGTGTTATCTCTTGAGCATGACACAATTTCCAAATACTGACAGATTAGTTTTATTTCTTAATTGATTTATAAACAAAACAAAACAAAAAAAACAACCACACACACACAACCTACCAAGGAACTAATGTTTCTCATTACAAAACCTGAAATAACACAAATCCCCAAAATCCCCATTAAAATGGCATGTTATTTTTACATAAAATGAAGATGTACAAAAAACTCCTGAAAGTACGAGGTGCTGGTTTAAAAGTCAACCAGCGGGAGAAATGAACCCAACTCTAGAGACATTATAAACCAGAATTGCAATTTATGAAAAATAAATTACAACAGATGCAAGGATACAGAGAAAAACTGGTTTAAACTCACAAAAACAGATGGACAACCCAACACCCTAGGATAAGAACAGAACAGTGTTCATTGGCCCCTGTGCTGAGCACCACATGGCCCCCCTGGGTGCAAAGTAAAAGGAAAGGAAATCGGTTGGTCCAGATGATGGTGGCAGTTCTGTTGAAGTAATGATCGCAGTCTTGTTGAGAGTGGCAGTGGCAGCCCTGTTGGAGTTCTGGGCCTCCTCTCGATCTGACAAGTGGCACCAGAAGTTCCAAAACTCCATGATTATATATGCTTAGGTTCAGGTGGGAATGTCCAGTACCTCCCTCAGGGCAGGGAGTTTCACAATGGGTGATTTAACTCTGTAAATCATGGGATATTTTTGGAGTCTTTGATGGTCTAGGTGTTTGTGGTGGGCTGACCTTGGTTGGATGCCTGGTGCCTACCCAGTCACTCTATCACTCCCCTTCCCATCAGAACAGGGGAGAGAGTAAGGTAGAAAAAACCAACTTGTGGGTTGTGATAAGGCAGTTTATTTAAAGCAAAAAAATTAAAGCAAAACTTGCATGTACAGAAGCGAAAGATAGCAGGGTTTATTCTCTATTTCCCATGAGCAGCGATGGTCGGCCACTCCCAAGAAGCAAGGCTTCAGTACGCGTGACAGTTCCTTAGCAGGCAGCCATTGGAGACAATGAATACCTGCCTTCCTTCTCCATGCCTTAGCTTTTATATCTGAGCTGACATCTTATGGTATGGAATATCCCTTTGGTCAGTTTGGATCAGTAGGCCTACTTGGGTCCCCTCCCAGGATCTTGCCCTCAACTGAGGAAGGAATGTTACAGTGCTGATGCTGTGCTCAGCAGTAGCCAAAACACTGGTGTGTTATCAACACCATTCTAGCTGCCAATGCAAAGCACAGCACTGTGAGGGTTACTGTGGGGAAATGAACTCCAGCTCAGCCAGACCATCTACAGTGTTGCAGCGGCCTATTATGCCAGTCCAGTGTGGCCCATTAGCAGAGATGACTCCTCAGGCTGGATGTGAAGGTGCTAATTCCTCCCTGGAGGGGAGTTATCACAGCTGAGTAATTAGGTGTGCCCTGGGCAGCTGATGCAAATGATCCATTACTAACAGTCCATCAGAAATTACATAGAGGGTGTAGAATACACAGGTTTGGTTATACCCACATAGTAATAAACTGGTCCTGGCCCCTGTAACTAAGACATAGATGATGATTTATGTGGAAAGCACTGAAATGGAAGTTTTATAAATGCCTCAGATGGATACCAAACTTGGCTTTCTGAAGCCTGCAAAGGATACTGGGGCTGGAAATCAGGAGCTGCTGACTCCCATATCTATTGCTAAACTGCTAGCTCATGTATTTCTATTAATGTTGGTAGTATTCTTAAAATGTGCCATTTTAAGGTTTTCATTTACTTATTCAAATATATTTGGTTTTCTCCTGACCTATTGGCTTAATTGCAGTTACTGTTTCTACCTTTTACAGCAAAAGTGACCAACTTCTGGAGATAATGCAGCATTCGTCTTTATGTCTCCTGACTGTAAACTAAGAGCAGGCTACCATAAAAACAGCATCTGCTTTCCTTGCTTTTGTTTATCACCTTTTTTTAATCGTTAACTTTTACTAGGGAAATTGGTTTTTTGTGTTGTCTGGTGCAGAGGATGCTTCATGCTTATGATGCATTTGAATTTTTAGGATTTTTAGCTTTTTTAGATTTTAATGTAGCCATGTAGTAAATATGGATTTTTAGTATAGCTGTGTAGTTTCTCACACTTTAGAATAGGAGTTGACACTTATCAAACACATTCTCACACTTCATATTGAATTTTCTAAATTCTTTAAGCTTGTTTATGTTTTTTTTGAAGGAAGGTCTCTAGCAAACACATCCTGTTTAGGAACATAGGCACCCTAGGCTGGAACAACAAGATATCTTGTACCCAAAGCAACCCTGAAGACCTGGAACCTTGGAGAAGCTCCAGAGACAGTGCATACTGTGAGGAGGAGGAAAATAAGAAAGAAAGGGGTCTGGAGACCTCCAACTCAATTCCAGGGTGGCATGCCAGGGGGGCAATTCCAGGGAGGATCTGAGGGCAGATAGTTCTCAGATTGGATGGATAGTACTATAAAGTGGTAGAACCCCTGGACACAGGTGAGTGCTTTTGTACTCCTTGTACTAGAAGGCCTTCATCAAAAGACCTGCTCTCTGTCTTATCTATACTAACATTGTCAGGTGAGTCTTTTTCTCCCAGTTTTTAAGCAAAAGTTATAAAGATTTTTATTAAAGTTTAACTCAAATATAAAGGTTTAACAGCCTCTAGAAATCAATTTGCAATATGCTGATCTGTTCGACTCAGGTAATCATGCTGTAGGCTAATTAGCATCATGAATATCTGTTGGACTAGCATACTGCTACTGACAATGATGGGAGAGACAGGAGTTGTATCCCTGCATAAGGAATCTATTTTCCTTGGCAGTGCTTGGAGGAGCACAGGTCTTTCATGCAGATTTACTTGGGTGTACTGGTTTGGGCTGAGATAATTTTCTTCACAGTAGCTAGTAAGGGACTATGTTTTGGATTTGTGCTGAAAATGCTGTTGATAATGTAGAGATGTTTTTGTTATTGCTGAGCAGAGCTTATACAGAGTCAAGGCCTTTTCTGCTTCTCCTCCCGCTCCAACAGCAAGGATGCTCAGGGGGCACAAGAAGTAGGGAGGAGACACAGCTGGGACAGCTGACCCCAACTATCCAAAGGGATATTCCCGATCATATGACATCATGCTCAGTATATAAAGCAGGGGGAGGAAGAAGGAAGGGGGATATTTGAAGTGATGGCATTTGTCTTCCCAAGTCATTATGCATGATGGAGCCCTGCTTTCCTGGAGATGGCTGAACACCTGCCTGACCATGGGAAGTGGTGAAAGAATTCCTTGTTTTACTTTGCTTGTGTACGCAGATTTTTCTTTCCCTATTAAACTGTGCTTACAGACTGGGGAATGAGAGGCTGAATAGCAGCACTGCGGAAAGGGACCTGGGGGTCCTGGTCGATGGCAAGTTGAATATGAGTCATGTATGCCCTGGCAGCCCAAAAGGCCAACCATGTCCTGAGGTGCATCAAACCAACATCACCATCTGGTTCAGGGAGGTGATTGTCCTGCTCTACTCTGTGCTGGTGTGGCCTCACCTCGAGTCCTGTGTGCAGTTTTGGTGACCATAATATAAGAAAGATATAAAGCTATTAGAAAGCATCCAAAGCAGGGGTATAAAGATGGTGAAGGGCCTAGAGGGGAAGACTTATGAGGAGGGGCTGTAGTCACTTGGTTTGTTCAGCCAAGAGAAGAGGAGACTAAGGGGAGATCTCATTGTGGTCTACAGTTTCCTCAAAAGAAGTAGAGGGACAGATGTTGGAGGATGCAGCAAGGTCGTGGAGCCTAGCAGCAAGGAAAGAATGTAAATAAGAAGTGAACATCCAATCATATGTGAAGGCTGGTAATAATATATAGATAATAGAGCTAAGAATAGTTTGGTATGTAAGATTCTACAGTCAGAGTGTGAGTGCAGCTGTGTGAGAACAAGATGTA